TTGTAGTCACCTGCTCAAGCACTCTCTTCGCGATGAACGGCGGGAGAACTGGCTTCCAAACTTCTAGCAGGTGCACCATGGGCTGTGGATTCTTGACGTCCCATTGTGTGATCGCTGAGCTCACTCTTGGCAGCCAGTATTTGAGCATCATGGACTCATATGACGACGTGGTGCCGCGTTTAATCGTGTCTTCTTCGTCGATTGCGGTGCGACTGACCAGTGCTTCAGAGGGGTGAGTGTAGGCTTGGGATGCAACCCTTCTACTTCGGGGCTGTATGATATTCGCCATTTCAGAAAAGGCTGCCGCCACACCTTCCAACGCACCCTCGAGCGGCTCCCAGGAAGCCACCGACTTGGAGAAGTGAGGATGTATAACGGCAATAGATTCACGGTGTAGTGGCTTGGACGGGTAAGCCGCGCGCAGGCTCTTAAGACCTTCGCAGACAACGTCGAAAGTGCCTGTACGAAGTGACTCTATCCGTGCTTGTAGGTCCTCCAGCTCGTCCATCTGCTTTTCGAGCGCTTCCAGTTTCTTCTGCAGCGCGTATTCCTGCGGAGGGATGGCTTGCGACTCTACTTGCAGCTGTTCGAAAGCCTCCGAGAAGCTGTTCAGATCTCTCCGTACGCGCGCTTGTAGGGAGTTTTCGAATGGGACGATATCGGGACCGCGCAGTGATACGCCTGAGGTAGGCGTCGATGCGCCGGTTGTCGCGTCGATAATGGACTGTAGCGCAAGCGGCACATGCATGCCAGCTTGCTCGAGTTCGAAGACGGTCTTCTTCGGTCGTGGCGCTGAGGATCGTGTCTCGCCCCGAGCCTTAGCCTTCCTCTTTTTCTTCTCCTCGCGCTCCTCTTCCGACGTGTCGACATACTTCTCGCCATTTTCTTCGGCCTTGCGCCGCTCCTCGCGCCGTTGCTGTTCGCTCTTTTCTGCGACGCTACCGATACCGCCCTTGGTGCCTCGGTTCACCACCTGGATAGGCTCTGAGATACCAGCGCCTTCTTTTCCCAGACCACCCTCGCCCTTGTATCCCATCTTCGCCAACATCTTGGCACCGAAGCCAGACTTGAGCGCGGAGCCATCCTCAGCCTTTGCCCGCTTGTTGGGTTGCTGGCGAAAGCTGTGCTTGCGCTTGCCACCTTCGTCCATGGTGGAGGTGTTCGTATGTGGAAATATTCGAATACGAGGGTATTATTGGCAGCCGGCAGCTGTTCGGTGCGCGCGATGAGTCTGATCGTGGGTTCGATGTGGCAGTGGGTGTCGCAATGTACGGGAGTGAATCAGGCAGATATGCGCGCCACGTGATACGTCGTGGATGGACCGTGGGCGAGGCGGGAGTGTTGTCGCAAAATGATGTTCAGTTGCGAGTTCTGGGTGATAGCGCCAAGAACCGTTAGGTCTGGGTCGCTCCTGCCGTAACGTGCTGGGTGCTATTCTTGGAAAGGATCGGGGTCGATCACCCTCCACCCATGTCCGGTTCGGTGCAACAATCACACCAAAAGTCTCCTTTACCAGAGTCGCACCGCAGTCAAGTAGAGATTCTCTCACCTCTGCGGCGGCCCTCTACTGCCTGTCTTTGTGATGACTTCCCCCAAGACTGACCGCGACCTCCGTCATCCGGTGCCCGATCTCCAATCGCTGCAAGGGGCATATGTGGGCAACATCGAACGCCTGGAAGAACATGCCGAACGCATGAGCGAGTCTGGCTCAGACCTGCAGGAGGAGATTCGGAAGACATACTCGGAACTAAAGCTGACTGACAGTCGGCGATCTTCACTACAGACGAACGACCTCGAGCCTACGAGACAGGCCAGCACCCGAAGTCGCGGCGTTTCGATAGGCTCCCACACCAATTCAATCGTAGACCTGAACGGAAACGCACGATGGGGCGGATATTCTCCGGGCGGTTACATAACCTCTCCTGCAGGGTCTCTGCGCTCAGGGACAGGCAACTGGTCCAAACCCTCGACTTCGGTCCAGCGCCAGCGCTCGGAATCAAAGGCATCGCGTCTCGGACAGATTGTACATCCGGAGGAAGTTGAGGAGGAACACAATGAAGAGAGCGACTCTGCTTCGCCGCCCCAACGGAAGGTCTCGTCCTTTACACGCATATTCGATGAAGTCGCGAATGGTCTGCCAGAAGAGCTGCGTAACAGTATCCATATAGGCACCCCACCTAGACGCCCGGAGCCAGACGAGGAGTCGCAGAACCAATATCCAGACTACCGCGATTTCGTGGACCGACCGCCTACAGCAGCCTCGACCGACACCACACACCAAGCACGTACATTATGGCATGACTTTGATGGCGTCCACTGCCCAGATACTGTCGAGGAGGAACCCGAACCATCCCACCACAGCCACAGCCGACATTCCTCGAATCATTCCTACATGATGAAATCCAATCCGAGCGTTCACTCCATAGGCGCACCGCCGCCGGACGATAGCATGGTCTTCTACCCGGCTCCCGTACCGAAGATGCTGAACCTACCCAAGCGCCTGTCACAATTGCCTAATATGAGTCAGCAAGCCAATCGTCGGTCACGGTTGTTGGATTCCATGCAAAACGAGCATAGGAAATCCATGCCATTGCTTGGTGACAATCTGGCAGACCCGAAGCCTAACAACAGGAAGAGCCGACAGAGTCTCATGGCGCTCCCACCGCAATTACGAGCAAGCGCCTACTTTGACAACCGAGCTGCCCCCACTCAGGAGTTTGCGGTCAAGGGAGAATCTGCAGAGGATACGCTCGAAAGCATCCTGGACGCTTCTGCACATGCTCCTGTGTCTGCATTCACTGATCATCCCTTCGCTGGGCATGTCGGCGACGAGGTGTACGGTGCGGAACGCAAGCGCAGGAGTTCCAAACTACCGGAGATGCCACCGACACTGGCAGAGACGCGAAGACGCAGCTCGTTCAACATACTGGATACTGACCACAACGCAAAGGGCGAGCGCCTGAAGAAGTTGAAGAAACGAAACAGCTCTGCTGACATGAATTTATTACTTGTCAAAGCAAGCGAAAGCCGGATGAGCCTCGGTGACCAGTTAGAGGAGCGTGATGAGGACGCACGAGGACCGGATGGACGTGATCCCGATGCTATTCGACCTTCGTTTGAAGAACACACGGAAGACCATTATGAAGAAGGAGAAGAAGAAGAATCGAGCGAAGAGGAAGGGGAGCCAGAACCACAATACGGCGCGCCGACTACTCTTCTCGCTGAGCTTCAGCTACGCAAGGCGAAACAGCAAGGTCGAAAGATGAACTACGTGACATTGATGGAGCAGGGGTTGATTGACGGTAGACAAACCCTGCTCCAGATGAACGACGTGGCCGAAGCCGAGAAGCAACGACGAATCCGCAAAAAAGTAAACCTTGCCTGGGAAGCTCCACCGGAAGAAGACTCGGATGATGACGTACCACTTGGTGTTCTCTACAGACCTCAACAGCAACAGCAGATGCGCCAAAAGAGCATGGGTCTTATCGAACAGCGAGAGTTGGAGGACCGCGAACCCCTCAGTAGCCGTCGCACTAGGCTACTCGGCATTGACCCGAATCAACGACGCACACAGTACCTTGGAGCCTCATCAAGCCAGCTCAACCTTCCTACCATCACAACGCCGGAACCAGACTCGGATGAGGAGCCTGGCGAGACGCTGGCTGACCGTATGCGCCGCATCAAGGAGAAGCAACAACGTGAATCAGCACTCGGCGATGTGCGTAAGAGCACAGTCAGCGATGACTTCGCTTCTGAGATGATGAGCAAGTTCGGTGTTCCAGAAGGCCAGGAGCAATCCAAAGACACTCCTCCAGCACCCCCTCCCGCTGCCGACGATGAAGAGGAAGAGGAGACCCTCGGCCAACGTCGCGCCCGCCTGCAAGCCGAAGCTGCCTTACGAGGCGAACAAGCCCCCCAATCCGGCCACCGACCCAATCTGCGTTCCTCCAGCAGTCTCGCCGACATCCTCTCCGCCAACCCCATCGACCCGCACAACCAAGCGCGCAAAGTCTCCAACGAAGCCCTCGTCTCGCACCTCCCCCAAGGCAGCCTCCTCCATCAAAACGAGCTAGACCAAGGGCGCAAAAAGCAGCAACGTCTCACCGCAACCATGCGCGCCACATCCTACGGCTCCATGGACCCGCTCCTCAAAAACATGACCAACAACCAAAAAGACGACGACGACATCCCGCTCGGCCAGAAAATCCAAGCCTACAAGAACGCTCAGAACCCCATGATGATGGCCAACCAACAAAGAATGAGCGTCATGCCGCCTCAACAGGGTATGATGGGCATGCAGATGCCAGGCATGATGAACGGCATGGGACAACACCAGTCCATGATGGGTATGCCCATGCAGATGGGCATGCAGCAGCCGGGCATGATGCAACAGGGTGGCATGATGGGTATGGGATCGCAGATGAATGGCATGGGCATGCAGATGAACGGTATGGGTATGCAGATGCCGATGCAGATGGGTGGCATGCAGATGAACGGTATGCAAATGGGTGGCATGCAGATCGGCGGGATGGGAATGAATGGCATGCAGATGCCGATGGGTATGAATGGGATGATGCATGGGGGCATGATGGAGCCGCCCATGGATCCGAGGCAGAGGGATCAGATTGATCGTTGGATGCAGGGGGTTAGGCATTAGTTTTGTCTTTGTGCGTAGTGGGTGTGTTTACTTGGGGTGTGGTTCGGTGTAGCGTGTTTGGTTGGTATGTGGCATTTGGCATTTCTTTGGGATAGCATTGTATAGCGTTAGAAGGGCGCGTTGGCAATATCTGCATTATCAGCGTTTTGGACATATTTAGCATAGCAAGTAGGTAATTTCGAGAGCATATATATGGGATGACGAATGATACACGATTTGTAGTTTTGCATTAATCCATTCGCTTGCATTACTACACTATACAGACTATGAAGACCAATTGTACTTGATCCCCTCCATGTCAACGGCGAGTTAGGAACCTTGTCCTGCCGAAGAGGCATCGGATCTACTGGAAGCGCTTCTCAGCGGCCTTCCAGTTGATGACGTTCCAGATAGCCTTGAAGTACTCGGCCTTGCGGTTCTGGTAGTCGAGGCTAGCAATCGTTAGTTGAAAAGCTCTTCATCAAGATTCCTTGATCAACTTACTAGTAAGCATGCTCCCAAGCATCAACACCCAGGATAGGACGGAACTGCCCGACAACAGGATCCTGGTTCGCATACGTCCTAATCTGAATAGCACCGGTCTGGGTATCCTGCACCAACCACGCCCAACCGCTTCCCTGGATGCCCGCAAGCGCCGTGTTGAACTTCTCCTTGAACGCGTCGAGGCTGCCGTAGCTGTTGTTGATAGCAGCAGACAGGGCGCCAGAAGGAGGCTCGCCGCCGCCCTGGTTGGTAGGTGCGAGGTTCTCCCAGAAGAGGCTGTGATTGATGTGGCCGCCGCCGTGGAAGTTGATCAAGGGCTGCAGGGCGATTTGCGCTTTGATGTCTTCTTTTTGCTTGGCTTCGGCGATTTGCTCGCTGAAGTTGTTGAAGGAGGTTACGTAGGTGTTGTGGTGGTTCTTGTGGTGCAGCTCCATTATCTTGCCTGAGATGGAGGGTTCGAGCGCGCCGTAGTCGTCTGGGGGGTGTTAGTTTGTGGTATTTGTAGGAGATAAAATGGAGTCGCACATGGAAGGTCGGGCAGCGTGGCCTTGCCGCGAACGAATGTCGTGCCTGCGAGGCCAGCGCGAGATGTGGTGGGAGCTGCGGCTCGGGCTGCGGAGCGCAGGGCGGATGTGCGGAGGAGTGCGGTGTTCATGATGGCTTCAATTGATGTGGTGCGTTCAATTGGGTGTGTGGTGTGTTGTTGTTGGTGTTGTGGTGTTGAGAGGTCGTGGAACTCTGGGGAAGCTTCGGATTTATTAACTGCCCATTTCGTCATATGCGAACATGCCGACCGCCGAGCTCAGAGCTCCTCCATTCCCTCACGGCCATGCGCTCCCCGGCCAATGATGACGCTTGCATGTCGCCTTACGTTCGCATGATTTATGCAGCGTCTGTATCAGGACATGTGCATCTCATGTGAGAGTATCTCAAAATGAACAGAAAGCTCCGGTGTATGCTAATGCCCCGCGAAAGCCCCGCGCGGGCGTTCTCAGACAGAAACTAGTCAATCAAGACGTGGGTGACAGCTGTGCAGTCTTTGTCAATCGCGTGCCGCAAAAAAGAGACGCTTGATCCAAGTACCATAGATCTCACCCCATGTGAGGTGATTGAGGGTTGCCCTGCATTTGGAACATTACCATTACGATCGTGCTTCGCGCTCCATCTTTCTTCTAACATAATCGTGCTACCCCGCCAACGTCATCATGGCGCCAGTCAATGTCGTCCATTTGCCCAACGGCCAAAACCTTACCGTCACGCCTGTGTTTGGCGGCCTCTTCTTTAAATCGAGCGACATCCACACGCACTCGCCGTTCCCACCTGGCTGGACCATTGTCCTCAATTCCGAAGATGAGCCCCCTACGGACGAACAAGAGCAGCAGCAACAGGGTGAGGAGGAGCTGTTCCCACCGCGCCATGTACATCGCTTCAAGAAGCCGACCCTGAACGGAGACCACCTCTACATATCGTCGATATCGAACCCCAGCAGTAGCGAGTTCAAGCCCGCTGCCTCACCAACCCGCCAGATCGCGATGATGCTGTGGGCGACACTGTACTGGTACTTTCACCAGCCCGAACCGACACTCCAGGTCACGAACGCGATCTCCAAGAACACTGCCGATGCCGGAAAGCCAAAGGGCGAATGGCGCATAAACATCAACAGGGAGGGCGTGTTCAAGGGCAAGGTCGTGCTGCCCAAGTTGGAGCGCATGGGACTCATCGCTAGCGAAGATTCGACCGTTGGGTGTGCACAAGAGGAGTCGTCTCCTGAAGGCTGGGAGCGCATGTTTGTCAGTCGGAGGACCTTCTGGCAGCTTGACCCCAGGATATACCTCTTCACTCTCTCGCCATTAGCCAATACCAACTCACCCTTTCCGTCAGGCTCGCCGTATCCGTCGCGACCGTCCTCCCCCGCGCTTGGATCTGATGCGAAGCAAGAACATCAGCTCGATCAGGTCTCACCAGGCTTGTGGTCACCGACTGCGCCAGGTCCATTCCACTCGAGCTCGCATCTACCCACGTTCTACCCACCGCCTCCTGCGCAATACGTCTTCACCAACAATACGCGACACCCGATACGACCGAAGCCACCTCGGCAGGGCGAGATACTATACACGAGGTACATACCCAGCGTTGGGCAATATCTGTCTTTCCGAGTAGCTTCCATCTCTTCGAAAGCGCTTCGACACCAGGGCCCGGTCTCCAGCCACGCGCCCAGTCCAAACGGCATGTCGGATCCGGAATATCTACACAAGTGGATGAACGACCCCCGTGTGTCGTATTTCTGGGGCGAGGCGGGTCCGCAGTCCCACCAGGAGCAGTTCCTCAAGAATGGTCTACAATCGAAGAACTCGTTCCCGGTCATGGGATGCTGGGATGGGAAGCCGTTCGGCTACTTTGAGTTATACTGGGTCAAGGAGGACAACCTTGGAAAATACCTGCCCATCGTCAGTGATTACGACCGGGGCTTCCACTGTCTGGTGGGAGAGCAGGAGTTTAGGGGAGCGCATAGGGTCAAGATCTGGTTGAGTGCGTTGGTGCACTACTGTTGGCTCGCGGATAACCGGACGGAGAGGGTCATGCTGGAGCCGAGGGTCGACAACGAGAAGTGAGTCTCAGGTCCTACATATTAAGTACGCTGCTAACTGTCTAGACTGGCAAACTACCTTCAAGAAGCTGGCTTCTACAAGGAGCGCGAGATCAGCCTCCCACACAAGCAGAGCAACCTGTTCAAAATCAACCGCGACGTATGGAAGGGACCGGCGCTGTGAGCCCGCGGAGACGGAAACAAATGTGGAGTTCGTATTTGGGCAGAGCCGCATGAACCGCATGAACGGGTTACGGCTCTTGGTGGATATAGTTTTGTGGAGTAAGCGCATCATGAGATACCAAGGTCTAGACTCTAGCCATGCCATTGAACACGTCTGAACTTGACATGTCACTTGCGTGGGGGAATTGTTGGTCATTCAATTAAATACGACCGGGGAATCAACCGCCGAGGACCTGAAGGACATGTCTGAGTGAAGCAATTCGGAGATGCCTTGTAACAAAAGATCGCTACAAGGAGCCTCAAATCCGCCCAGAACCCCAACAACGCGCGCGGGAAAATTTCTGCTACTCCAAATCGCCATTTTCTTGTCGATCGGCCTATCTCAGGTTCCGGCAGTAGGATGACAATCGACCATTGACGTGCGTTTGCAAAGGTGCGATAGTAGCTAAATGTGGGGTTTAGCGAGGGACCAAAACTTTTTGGCTACACGTGAGGACGTCATTGGTTTGTTGGGATAGAAAAAGGGTGACCCACGACGCTGTGAATCACCGTTTGGAATTTGACCTCACGATACCCCCTCAGTCCAGCTCTATAACCCTTTGATTGTAGTGCTAGCATACGTGTTGCGAAATACTACAAGGAACGTTGGAGAGTAAACGTTGATACCGAATTCGGAAGACTATCGGGCTAATCCACAAACGAACCGTTAAAGTCATCGACCACCACATCACTCTCACACTCACACTCTCCCCTCATACACGCGCAATCATGGCCGCTCAAGACGCTTCCCTCGATATCCAGTCTCGCATATCGACCATGAAGGCGCAATCTGGTGCCACCATCTTCGATGCGTACCAGACGTCTCTCACGGGCCGGTACTGCTCGCCGGAGATGTCGCAACTCTTCTCGCAGCGCAGCCGGCACTCGATATGGCGCAAACTATGGTTGTTCCTCGCGGAATCAGAGAAAGAGCTTGGTATCCAGAGTATCACTGATGATGCGCTTTCCCAGATGAGGGAGCATCTGACTGTTACGGATGATGATTTCGGGGTTGCCAAGGTCGAGGAGAAGAAGAGGAGACACGATGTTATGGCGCATGTACACGCTTTTGGTCAGGTTGCTCCGGCTGCTGCTGGTATTATCCATTACGGCGTAGGTTCTTATGTGTGAAAAAGTCAAGATGATTCAAACTGATATCCCACAGGCAACAAGCTGCTACGTAACCGACAACGCAGAACTAATCCTCATGCGCGACGGCCTAGATCTCCTCCTCCCCAAACTCGCAAAGGTCATTTCCAACCTCTCAGCCTTCGCCCTGCAATGGAAGAGCGAGCCCACCCTCGCCTACACCCATCTTCAACCCGCTCAACTCATCACCGTAGGCAAGCGCGCAGCCCAATGGGCGCAAGACCTCCTCTTCGACCTCGAAGCCATCGAGCTCGTCCGTGAAACCCTTCAATTCCGAGGCGCCCAAGGCACAACCGGCACACAAGCCTCCTTCCTCGAGATCTTCAACGGCGACAGCAAAAAGTGCGACCAGCTCAACGAGCTGCTCTGCAAAAAAGCCGGTTTCCCCTCCTGCTACGCCATCTCGACACAAACCTACACCCGCAAAGTCGACCTCCTAATCGCCAACGCCATCTGCGGGCTCGGGGCCTCCGCCCAGAAAATCACCGGCGACATCCGGCACCTCGCGGCGTGGAAAGAACTCGAAGAGCCGTTTGAAAAAGACCAAATCGGCTCCTCGGCCATGGCCTACAAGCGCAACCCCATGCGCTCCGAGCGCATCTACGCCTTATCCCGCGAACTCATGTCCAAGCCCGCCTCCTTCGCCAACACGCTCTCCGACCAATGGATGGAGCGCTCCCTCGACGACTCCGCAATCCGGCGCATGGATATCCCCGAGATGTTCCTCCTCGCCGACGCCATCCTCCTGTCTCTCGACAACGTAACCTCCGGCCTCGTCGTGTACCCCAAGCGCGTCGACGCGCGCGTGCAGGAAGAACTGCCCTTCATGATCACCGAATCCATCATCATGCGCCTCGTTGCGAAGGGCGAGTCGCGCCAAGAAGCCCACGAGCAGATCCGCGTGTTGTCGCACCAGGCGGGTGCGCAGGTCAAGAACGAGGGTAAGAGCAATGATTTGGTGGAGAGGATCCGCAGCACGGAGTTCTTTAAGCCGATTTGGGGGGAGCTGGATGGGATGTTGGATAGTAAGTTGTATACGGGTAGGAGCGAGGAGATTGTGGAGAAGTTTTGTGGGAAGGGGAGTGTGCTGGAGGGGAAGCTGGCGAAGTACTCGAGTTATATTGAGGGCGCTAAGGTTAGTGAGTTGAATGTTTAGATGGGGATGGTTGGGTGGTGGGAGGGGAGTGGGTTTAAGGAGTTTTAGGGTAGAGAGAAAAGCAATCGACTTACGAGTATATGATCATTGTCTTAGGGGAACGATGTCAGCATGGATCTTGTGATTGGATTGATATCGAGCGTGCGTTATGCTAGTACTGATTCCATGTAAATGCCCATGCCCACCAAACGCCACCGCTAAAAACACCCTAGATGCATGAACAACTCAAAAGAGCAAAGTGGTATAGAACACCCCAAAGATGAATCCAAAAACATCACACCATCTTCAAGACTCTAGCTAATACTTCCGCCCCCTCCGTCTCGGCAGCCCAGACTCCACTCCCATGCCCACCCCCGCCGTCGTCGCACTCGGCGGAATGACCACCTTGGGCGCCATCAAACCCTTCTTAGGCGTCGCATCACCCATGCCCACTCTATTCACATTCTCCTTATCACCCGCCTTGGCAGACGAAGGTGTCTGTGGCAGGACAACCTTTTTGGGCGCTGCAAGCCGGCTCTTGCGTTGGACGCCTACGGGTGCGACGTCGAGAGAAGGGAGTTTAGTGTCTGCTGTGCTGGAAGAGAGACTGCTGCTTAGGGATGTTGATGTTGATGTTGGTGTAGAGGTGGAAGTGGCCGTGGAGGTGGTAGAAGAAATGGAAGAGGCAACAGCCATCTTCTTGACCTTTGTCGACTTCGGCTTCGACGATTGCTTCTCCTGCGTCGCGGCCTTTTCTTCTTGAACGGCTTCAGGGAGGAGACTAGCAGGTGCCAGTAATCCCTTTCCAGGCGTACCGTTCGTCGTGCCCAGACCGCGGACTCTGCGTATTTTGGGTGTCGACGTCTTGCTGGTTTTTTCTTTCTTCTTCTTGGGCTCGGGGGTGCAGTCCGACATGCCGAGTTCGTCTGGTGTGGCTAGGGACTCTGCGTCTGCTAGGGCGTTGGCGAGGGTCTCGGGGTTCTCTTGGTAGTATGCTAGTGTTTCGTCCCAGCGGACGTTCTTACCGACGACGAGTTCTTTGGTGGAGTCGTCGAGGGGAGGGAGGCTGGAGTAGTCCATGGCGAGTTTCATTAGTCGGACGGTGACGCAAAAGGCACCCTGTTTGTTCTTGCGCGTGTTGTTGCGGGTCATGTCGGCGAGGACCTTGGCGTCGTCCTTCTTGAGTACGACGACTTCGTTTCCGTCGGCACGGCGGATGTTGATCTTGGGTGCTGGTGCTGGTCCGATCGATGCGGGGGTGGGCAATCTTGTCTTCTTTGCTCGTGCAGAACGTCTTGATCCTTGTTCGCTCTTCTCTTCCGCGGTTTCGATCTCTGTTGCGCCGGGGGTAGGTGATGGAAGCTTCTCATCTGGCTTGGCTAGTGTGAGTGTTTGCGACAGATCCAGCGTCAATTCCGTGTGCTGCTTCGTGGGCGAGTTTGGGTCCTTCTCTTCAAGCACCTTGCGGGGCGAGGCTAGGGCGTGTTTGATAATATCCGAGTCTCGTCGGTTTTGTAGAGATTCTCTCTTGTGTGTAGTGACTGCGGCCTTCTCAGCCTTGCTTGCGGCAGCACGCGTGAGGAAGTCCTTGAGGATGGCGGTGTCATCATCGATAGCGACCGTCATTGTGACATCGTCAGGTCCGGATTCAGGACGTGGTGGAGGCGGAGGCGAGTGTAGTCTGCGTGGGGCGGGCGACTGTGGTTTGCTGGGTGTGAACGAGAATGTCAATCCATCGGCGATGTCTATAGATGCTGAGGCAGGCGCGTCGGCCATGGCAAGGTCCTGGGCAGGGGACTGAAGAGCTTCAGGGGAGGCTGGTTGCTCCTCAGGCCGCATACTATCATCCATCTCTTCTTGCTCAAACTCGTTGGGCTCTGATTGAACTGCTGTAGGCGCAAGACTGTGCTCTTGAAGCGCTGCTTGATAATCCCGCAGTATGTTCAACTGCAAAGAAGCTTCCGTAAACTCGTCTTCACGGTCGACCGCTTCAGAAGAGTTGAGTATATCTTCCTTCCGAACTGCATCTGTCGATGTTGCTAGCTCAACCTCAGATAACTCAACATCTTCCTCGTCTTCCTCGCTAACGTCTTCGTCGAGCGCTGGTAGCGGCGAAGTCGTAGTGTCTTCCAACGGCAACGCTGGGTACTGAAGTTGTGTCCCCGGCTCTGGTGTCTCTGAAACCGGGTCCGTCTCTTCATGCATGGTCTCGTCTTGTTGCTTGACAACCTCGTCTGAGATTTTAACATTCTCTCGGGGTCCTTCGCACACGGAGATTGTTTCCCCTTGGTTTGTCTCCTCTGTGACTTTGCTGATCATCTCGGTGGATACAACCTCGGTCATAGCCGTCTCTGCCTCTGCTTCCAAGTTGTCGCTCAGAGGAAGCTCTGGGTATTCGACCTTCTCCGGCGATGCGGTCGGGATATTCGACTGCTCCCTTAGTGGCGAACGGAATAGCTTCGCAAGCGTCGCGTCTTGTGTGGATACTGCCTCTTCTTGTTCTTGGTCGTCTGCGTCGATGATCTCGTAATCGGTAGTTTCGGCCGTCGGCGCGTCCACTGCGAAAGTGAAAGTCGATGTCTCTTCGTACGTAGAAGATATATCCTCTAGCGATTGGGTCTGTTCAATTATGTTTGTGTCTGTCTCGTTGATGCTATCCTCGCCTTCCACGGTGTGAGCACTTTCTCCCTCCTCTTCACTGTCGACTTCGTCGTTTGCGCCGATCGCGGGGTCCTCGGTCTGAGTCGCTCTCTTCCCTGTACATAGTCAGCGAATGTCTCAGCCGTGCGCGTCGGTAACATACTTGGCAGAACGCTCTTTCTGCGGTCCCAGCGCGTCGCCTTGAACGCGCGCTTCTTGCCGCCAAGCTTGCTCGTTGATTTCTCCATCGCCTTTGGGCTCATGTGCTGCCGCCTCTTTACTGGTCTTGAACGCGCGTCTCGTTCCTCCTCGTCTTCTGCCTCCTGTGGTGTGTCGTCGGCACGCGACCTAAGATTGAATCTGCGCCAGATCTTCTTCTCCTTTCCTTCGCCCACCCTCTTTACTTCTTGTTTCCTCTCCCATCCTCGCGGTATTTTGGAAACTGGCAGCGCATTCGGGTCGAGGAATGCCGCATTGGTCTCGTTCCAGGTGTTGTCGAACGTTGCTGTGGGCGCGGCGCGCTTGCGCGGAGTGAAAACCATGACGTCGACCGTGTATTATTACTGTAATGAATAGATCAATGGCGCGCAAACATGGGAACTGTGTCGTAGGCTCGTTAGTATGGTCGTGACGAGGGTGTCGTCTGTGTTGGCCTCCGTCGCTAGGAAGGTGCGATCGTAAACAAAGCCGGACAGGGATTAGGATGGGGCAGGCACGCTAAGGAGATTGCCGCGGCGGAAACTTTTGAATCCACCGAGTCGACGACGACGACGCCATCGCCATTCGCAGTCTGTGCAGCACCAGCACTCACGTCGCATCCAAGTCGCATCCGTCTCCCGAACCGCATCTACAAGATGGTACCGAAGCCCTCAGGCACCGCCGTCCAGTCGGCCACGCACCGACCCCTCCCACCACTGCCAAAACTCCGCGTCCGCCGACCGAACAAGCCAGAAGCGAACCCATGCTTGGGAGCAATGTCATCAGTTCTGGGTATGTGAAGAGATTGGAACATATCGAAGGAAGGCGCAACGCTATGTGGAATGCAATGGGGAAGCCACGACGAATCTGGGCTGACATGGCTACAGGATGCTGGGCGTCTTCCGGCTACAGTGTGCAAGGCTGCGCACAGCTTGAACAGAAACTACGGCAATGCATGGATGCGCCAGTACGTTCACCTCCTATCGAGTCACAAACACGTCTAACCCTTCATAGCGAAACCCCAACCAGAAGAAGAACAACATCAACTACCACCTCTCAAGAATGTACCCCAAGATCGTCGGCCCCCACAAGCGGGACTAGACCGCCCACGCATTCCTTTGTACATTATGTATACCCTTACGACGGCCACCCGTACGAAACAGCATCATGGGGGAGTTCAAGTCGATGGATTCATCGACAGGCGTTATGGTTACCATCGTTGTATATAGACGAATCTAGGAAGAGTCGGGCATGCTATCTTGAATGAAAAACAGACATCTATCAGGCCATTACGTACACATCAAAGCTCACGCAAGGGAGGCCTCAGACCACGAACTGGCCTTGGCCGTCAGATGTCTTAGCCTAACTGCAGGACGACCCTTCGCGTACGACCGCTCTGCTTTGTCTGTTGGCTTCATTTCCCAGGCCGACTACCACTCAATGATGCAACAGCGAGCCATCTTGAGGACCACAATCTGCCGAAAAAGGCAGTGCATGTAATCCCCCACGTGCATCCACGTGCAATACATCTTTGTATGTTTCATCGCAGGCCTGACGGTCAACTCTCCATCTCATCGCCCAATAGCTAAAGACATCGAACTAAGGGATTACTGCAGTATTATACCCCGCTCGTCATCCCGCATAATTATGCTGTGCATCATGCTCACTTGGGCTATATTTACCTTCTTTCGCCCAACGCCACATGCAGGCTTAGACCCACTCACTCTACACCCCACCAGCCCACCTACCAATGCGCTGCTGCGCCCCAAGCCGACCTGATCCTACACCAACCTCCATCCGGCCGCACACCAGACCTTGCCCAACCCCCTCACTGGCCCACCGCGTACACGTCTTGTCCAGGGCGGAAAATGCCCGACTTGATTGGCCTGATGTGCGAAGAGGTGAAGGGTGTAATGCGACGCCTTACCTGAAGCTACCCCAGCTCACCCGCATCATCGCCAGACGAAACCGCTTTCGATTGGATCGCCAGGGCCATGGCCCGTTTTCTACAGCCAGGGAAGCTCTGGAGCTTACCCTGCCGCAACATGTGTTGCTAGGGTGCTGGGTTCCCTCCCACATGCACTCAGCCGCGTAAGATGTTGTGGGCTTCTTATAGTCTGCTGCATTGCGTAGCGATCTTCGCCTTTTGCACCTCATACTACTCGACGTGCACGACGTTTTCTGGTGTCTGGCCGTCGTCATACTTGATTATCTTGGTTCGAGGTTGATTTGTTTCTTAAGTTAAAGAGCTGCGCACATGGAATCGAGATGGCGGTTACACTTCTTCTTCTTGCCTTGTTAGGATCGACAATGGTATATGCGGCTGCGTTTTCGTTACCTGAGGCTACACAGTATACTCCAACGATGGACGGATGGAGTCCAGCACCTACAGCAGCTCCACAGTTACCGTTCGATCTCTCCAGACGTCAGGACGGCGGAGCTAATACCTGTGGCTATGTCTCTGGCTCTGGTATCTCAGGTAACCTCATCCTCCATCTAGTTCTGAACCTCACTAACATCTAACAGTCAGCGCAATAACCTGCCCCAACCCAACAGATGAATGCTCTTCAAACAAGGTCTTCGGCGCACTCGGCTGCTGCCCTTCATCCCGAACGACCGACTGCAACCTAGCCACAACTTGCATCCCATCCACCGCTCTATCAGCCTCCTGCACAGACACCGCCTGTTCAACCAACGCCTTCATCTTGAAATGCACAGAAAGCTCCGCACCAGCCTGTTACGCATACCACGTCATATACGACAGAATAGTCTTGACCCAACACGGCTGCGCAGCCAGCGGCTTCACCAGTACCGCATATCACAGCCTGGGCATGAGTCTATCGAGCAGCGCCCCAGAAAAAGAAACAGTCTACGCTACCGTCACCAAGGAACCAGTTAGCTCGCCTACGTCCCAGTCCGACTCTGCCTCTTCATCCAACTCCTCAAAACCCAGTCTAGGCGCTATAGTAGGCGGCACAATCGGCGCGTGTCTCTTCCTCTCTTTCATCGGCTTCGTCGTCTTTCTCGCTTGGCGGAGGCGGCGGACTGAAGCACGGAATACCGCCCGCTCTACTGGTGCATTCCATCAGAGAGAGTCCAGGGGTATGGTCGAGTATAACGCCATGGGCTTTCCTTCTCCGGGCTTCTCCTCCCCGGGCTTATCGTCGCCGGGAAGCCCGAGTAGCGAGGTCGATAAGGTGTGGCAGCAGCGTGGCTCGGGTGGAGAGTGGCCTGGCATGGGGAGGGGCAGGCAGATTGAGATTGTAGAGGTGGATGGGACGAGTAGGGCTGTTGAGGCGCCTACTACGGCTGAGAAGTAAGGCGGGTTTAAGTAATGTCTGTTGTATTCTTCGTGTAATGTTTTCTAGTTCCTTCTTGACTTCGGTCTTGGTGCAGATGGTTGGTTTTCTGTTCTTGTTTGTATTTTCTGTACGGTGTTTATGGGGATGATACCCACTCTTCATGGTAGTTTTACAGACGGGGTGGAAAGGTTGCTTGGGATGAGATTACAAGGCAACGAGGGTATTATTACGGCAGCATGTATTAGATGGAATGATAGTGAAGGTTCGGTCATATGTCATAAAGGCAGTTGCTCCTTAGATGCTTCAAGACCTTCCCATTTCCGGACCTGACCCTACAGCTGAGCAGTTGTGAAGCGCCCTGTGACGTATATGTAATAAGTTACCATACATGGTGGACTTTCTAGACGCTGGCAAGCTTCAAGTACCGACAAGACTTCCAGGCTGTGACCTGCTGATGACGTCACTGTGTTTGAACATCCATAAGCAATCCATGTACTAGATACGTCAGGGTCGTGAAAGCGGAGTATACTGGTCGGCGCAGTCGTAATGTGTAGGTGGTGAAGGAGGCGGAGCTGACTCCTGACGCTAAGGCACCCGCGCTAGCACACGCGGAGCAGGAGCCCCGCCCCACGTCGCGGAATGGCTTGCTGTCAACGCGTTTTCCTCGGAAACAACTTGCTAATTGTTTGCAAACATGGGAATATCCTGAATGCTTCCGGATTTGACTCGCAATTGCCGTGGGTCTATTGTCATTGGTATCCCTTGCCCGAAGCAATTGGCTGACTTTCCCGTCAAGGCACCGACGCGTTCTCCATCAACGCCGACGACGCGCTACCTTCAAGATGCTAGCGGATGGGAAGATCGACTCGCTAGATACGCACCTGGAGCAGTTCAAACTCAATGATCAGGCCAGGCAAAATGATCTCACAGTAGGTCAATACCGAGATGTCCTCACTATCTAGGTAATCCGCATTCCGCTAACCCCGCTTAGAACCTCCTTAGAGAGTATGGGCAACTACTCGATGAATACAAAGACCTAAAGAGAGCCTTTGAACAGAAAGGCAACAGCACTATCGCTGCGCCTCCAGGTATACCCATACCAACCATAGCCACGGCAACAACGGCTCGCAACCCATACGTTTTGGTATTAATAGACGGCAACAACTACATCGTCAGTATCATCATGACATTACATACTTCGCCCTAACATATTCCAGTTTAATGATGAATTTATTCGCGACAAAGAAGAGGGTGGAATGCGCGCAGCTCGTATGCTCAACGACGCCATAGAGAAATACCTCCAACAAAGCGTTTCCCAAGCCCGAACGGCTCGCATACATGTCAAGATCTACGCAGACTTGACAAATCTGTCTAAGCAACTTGCAAGGTCCAAACTCGTCGGTTTGGAAAAGCGATCCTTGTCACCTTTCTCCGCTGCATTCACCCGAGCCATCAGCCTCTTCGACTTCGTTGATGCTCTAGATGAAGAAGGCGCCAAATTCAAGATCAGGGAACATTTCAAGATCGCCTCCGAAGATACTGCGTGCAGCCATATCTTGTACGCTGCTTGTCATGATCCGGCTTATCTATCCCAACTCGTCCCGTTCAGCGGTGTACGTGACAAGATTACCCTTGTCCAAGGCGCTGGATGGAACTCAGAGTTCCACCAGTTCAACTTGAATGTTACACAATTCCCGACTGTCTTTAGATGGTCTGAACTTCCCGTTGCTGTACCTACAACCAAAGGTGGTCCGGCTACATTACCCAAACAAAAGGCATTAGCCGCAGTACAGAAACCAATACTCTCTTCCGGAACGCCAACTCCGCGCAAAGAATCGTGGAGGCGAGACGACTCATTCAGCATGAGCGACTCCGCATTCGGCGACCTCTCCCCAGTAGAATCCAACAGTTTCTTCGAACAAGAACGAGTAGGCTGGGAAGACCGCTCCGCATATACCCAAACAGCCAAGAACCCTTCGAAACCAGAAAACAACTCGCAGCTATGCAAGTATTTCCAAAAAGGCAATTGCCGCTTCGGCAACAAATGCAACTTCCTCCACATCCCCAAGACCCACTCCGACGCAAACGGCTCCGGTTCATCCCAGCCCCCGAGAGGGCCCTCAGGAGCTCCGTATCCGTCTCTGCCCCTCTCCTCGCAACAACAGTCCTCCTCCCAAACCCCTCTCTCCGCCCTCCTCCCCGCCGCCCCAATCCCCGGGTTCGTCCCACTAAACACATCCCATCAACGTCTCGACCCCTACCTCCCCATGCCCCCTCCCTCCGCTTGGAAAATCTATAACGCCCGCTTCGCAAAGGCGAAACCATGCAATACGTTCCACCTCCAACAACGCTGCACCACCCCAAACTGTCCTTTCGATCACAGCGAACTGGAGCCTGAAGCAAGACAGGTGTTGGAGTATGTGGTCAAGTGTAATCCTTGTCCGAGAAAGGGGGCGTGTAGGCGGGGCGATTGCTTCTATGGACATCATTGTCAGAGGGATGGATGTAGTGAGGGGGATGGGTGGGGGGTTAAGAAGTGTCGGTTTAAGAGGGAGATGCATTACGGTGAGAGGGATTTAAGGGTTGGAAGTTTGGTGCCCGCCGGGGAGGATGTGGCTGGGAATGGGAATGGAGTGGGGATGAGTGGACTGGAGGTTGGTGATGGGGAGGATTTTATGTGGTAGGCTGGCTGAAGGGGATCGCGAGCTAGGGGCATATATTGGGTATATGTCGCAGTGCCTTACGACGTAGCCTTGGTATGAACTGGTCTGGGCTCAAGTTAGATCTGTCTTTGCACGG